TCGACAGCTGCTCCGGATAAATAAATAAACAGTAAGCAGGCTCCTCCCTATCACCTCCCCCTGAAGGACTCATTGAGGGCGCATAAGAAACACATTCACATTTAATCATCCCTCTGCGAAACGTGGACAGTTATTGGTGTCAGTGGTCTAACAAGGTTATTTGGGAGCACGGCTGCCATGCATAACCACAACCTCCAGAGACCGACCTTATAAAGGCATCATAACCATCTGCAGGAGGTGTTGGTCAGGATTGATGCATTATTTGGCCGATTTCTCTTTAGATATATATATATATAGGTGTTTCTGTCCATGCTTCCACTGTGAGAAGACGACTCAGTGCTATGGGCTATGGGTCTGAAAGGATGTCTAGCTGTCAAGAAGAACCTCACTGAGAAAAGGAAAAAGGCAAAAAGAGAAACATTTGCAGACTAAACAAAGTAGCTGCTGGTGTTCCCAAAACAGTGGACTGAACACCCCTCAGCTTCACTGAATGTGTTTGGGATTATTTGGATCGTGAGAAGCAGAAAATACAACCAACTTCTAAGCCTGAACTTTGGAGGTGTGGAAAAATATCCCTGCAGATTTCTTTGAAAAGCTGTGTGGACAATAAATATTGATTTTATTTAGTCAAATATGTACTTTCTGCTTTTTTTTCCTGGTGCTGAAAAAAAGAATAACTAAATACTAAATACTTAATGTTTGTTTTGACTGGAAATTAAATGAAAGGTGGTCTCTGACTTTTGCACAGAACTATTACATAACATTATTTGGCATTTTAAACACTAATTAGCACAATGAGGCATTTGTAATTATGCTATGACGTTTGGTGTCGGTGTAGCTGCAGCATTCAAATACAGCACGTTAGAAAATTGCAGCACAACCAAATTCAGCCAAAAACAAGAAAAATAAATTGTAGAGCTGCTGATTGTATGTTTAGAGCCAAACTCTGCAGATTCCAATATTGGCCAGTTCCAATTGTGCGTCCACACCATCAACTTTAAAACATTTTGACACATTTTAAACAACGCTTCAAACAGCTCGTGTATAACCTACAAACAGTGAATACCAATGCTGGAAAATGAAGAGTTGAGATAACTGAAGATTAGGAGGAGGACTAAGCCTGAATCTGTTCCACCTCCCAATCTAACAACCTGTAAATTTCCATCCCTAACTTCCATGTCTTGTGATGAAGTTTTCGCAATGCACCAGCACATTGTCTCCTCCCTGTTCCTCAGTCCTGTCTCTGTTCATCAGGGGGGTCTAGCCTTTCAGCTTAAAGCAGAAGCTGCCCAAAACTTAAGCCCAAGATCTCTCCTCTCCTACAGACGTACAGTCTCCTCTCACAACCATACAGCCATGGTCCAGACTAGCCAAAATCTATATTTTGGCACTGGGGCGAATGTATATTCATAATATGATGTGCATTCAATTATTAATAATTGAAATTATTAATGGAATTGTAATTCTATGATTAAAATTCCATGGTGTAGTTTTTTTCCTTGAAAATACCAGCTTACTTTTTTTTAAACAGTGTTAAATATTCTTGATGAATCAACCAATATAAACACTCCAGATTTACTTGGGGGGGAAAAATCTTCCATTTAAAAGTAGAAAAATTGTTACCATTTTGGAGATGCAAGGTTTTGTCCCAGCAGCGACCATATACTCATTTTCTTTCTTTCTGAAGCACGGGACATAATTCTTGGAATGTGGAAGCTCACACTCCTGCTTAGTTTAAATATTCATTAGCTGTGTGTTCATGTTGCTTTGTTCTGTGATCTGTGAAACTGCCAACAGTTCCAGTAAAACAGCAGTGTTTTCCTGCACATAGGCTGTTCTTGTGCGCCCACGGACCCAAGTATATTTTGTCAGTTGTTACAATAAACAGGACACGTGTACGTCACTTAAGATGTATGCATTATTTCTGTGCTACATTCTCAGTTTCTTTTTTTTTCATTCCAAATCATACATGTCATATTTGAATACTTAAAGAATAATAAAAGAATAATAAAGAAAAAGATGTTGAGATGAATTTGGATGTCCTTATGTATTAGATTACCCACCCCCTGCTCCTCCCAGGCTTATTTCAGACATGGGAGGAAACTGCATAACCTGGGCATATTCCTCTAGATCCAGCAGTAAATGCAGCACTTTATTCCAATTTATTCTCTCTCATGGAAGCCAAAACATTCAAATGTGCTTCTCCTGATCTCAAGATTAATTATGCATTATTTACTGTAGATGCTTAGGGGTTGAATGTTACTCTAATGTAACTCTTATGTTGTTTATTTGTTTGTTAACTTATTTACTAGGGGTTTAACAATACAGTCAGCCCATGATTTGATTTGATTCATGATACTGAGTTTATGATTTGATAATCATCACAATATTTTGAGCAAATTTTAGAAAAATGATCACTATAATCATGTTGTTGCACAGCTTACTATTGACACTAGAGCTGGGAGGCAGGAGGAGTCCTTTGTTACATCTCCACAATGAACATTTTCACAGTTTTATATTACAATATTACAAAGTTACATCATCATAATTTCACAGTGCACTGTTACACTCTTATTATTTACAGTGTAGCACGAGTGACTTTACAGCAAATGTTCCTCTTCTCTTTATTTTAGCGTAATTGTAAGCTAGCAAAAAGATCAGACTGATGATGCTGGAGCGTTTTGGTTGTGAAATATTGATAGAGGAGCTGTGGTGTCATTAAGGAGGTCACTGTGTTATTCAGCAGACTCCAGCACCAGGCCGATTACCACAGACCGGCTGTTAGGGTCAAGGTCAAAGGTCGACAATAACTGCCTCCTTCTCTCACTTCAGGAAAATTCCCTTTCTCTGTGTATTATAAAATGATTTTTTATTGTTAAAAATAGGCTAAAGATATCGAGGTGGGTCTTTTTACATGGCTTTTTGCATGACTCTGCTGTTTACTAGTATTCTGAAATGCTTTGGAATTGAATGTTAATGTGGTGTCTGTGGTGGATACAGTGCTGTGAAACATGAGTGGATTTCGGTCATGAAAGTCAGTTTCAAATCCATTTCATTAACAAAAAACATTCATTGAAGAAATATCACTGATATAATTTATAGATGATGCCTTATTATCACCATCACTTCCATCAGTCCCATTGTCTTACTATGAATTTCTTTGTTATTCTGCTTACTTGCTGTGTAGTCTTCCTGAGTATTCATGGCTTAGTTCTGTATGTGGTGGAGTTAATGGTTCATTGTAGGGATGCACAATGATGCCAGTATCAGCAGATATTTGCTTAAAAAAAGAAAAGATCAGCATTGGACAGATGTTTAGATCTGTCAGTGTGCATTTATTATACTCTGGATGAGCAGAATGTGAAGGTGATGCTGGGCTGCTGTGCTAAAATATCTGCATTTTCTTTTATTTCTGCATTTGTAACCCTACAAAAATTAATTTTATTTCTTCATAATGCAAATTGAGGTCCTTATTTGCACATTTTAAGTGTTGATGTACAATCATTGGTATCTGCAGTAGAAGACATGTACATGGAAAAATATCAGATATTGGCAACATTCCAATATTGGTGCATTCCTAGTTCACTGAGTGCAAATTGGAATTATGTGTTTTTAATTTTTTTACTGAGCGAATGTTATTAAATTGGCTTGACAGAGTTACAAGTAAGCAAAACCCTGCAACCACCTAGCAACTCTCATGCAACCACCAGATATACCATTTCAAACACATAGTAATACTCTAACAACCATAGCAAACTCCTATCAAATGCCAAGCAACTACTAAAGATGGTATAGGAACCATCTTCAGGACTAGAGCAACCACATAGCCACACCCTAGAAATTACTTTGGCAATCTCCTCAGATACCACAGCAACTGCCTAAAAGCACCATAGCAACCACATATAATACTGTAGCCACTTAGCAATACCCAAGCAACAACTAACCAATCATCTAGCATCCACCTGGAATACCCTAGCAACTGCATAGCAACACCATAGGATCTACTTGGTATACCATACCAATCACATAGCACAATCCCAGCAACCACCTGGAACACCTTATCATTTGCATAGCAACATCCTAGCAACCACTTAAGATGCCACCTAGTAATACCCAAGCAACAACTAACCAACCATCTAGCGTCCACCTGGAATACCCTAGCAACTGCATAGCAACACCATAGGATCCACTTGGTATACCATACCAATTAAATAGCAAAATCCTAGCAACCACCTGGAATACCCTATCATCTGCATAGCAACATCCTAGCAACCACTTAAGATACCACAGCAAGCAACCACCCGGCAACATTCTAGCAACCACCTGTAAATCCATGGCAACAACCTGATCAACCACTTAAAAATGGACAAGGTGAAGTTGGGGTGAAGTTTTTTTTTCTCTCTTTTCAGTGTGTCTTTGGGTGAATCCCTGTGCGCTTTGTAGAGATTTGAACTGAACATAGAGAAATGAGTTCAGTTGTCCCTGAAGCTCTTTAGCAATATCACAAAGCTTATCATGAGAAGACGGAGCGAGTGTTACTTTGAACTTTCTCTCTCTGACTGTGCAGATGATCTTAGTTCTGCGATGCTTTTGGGTAACTGGGACTGCACCACTTGGGTGAAGCCAGAGTTGGATGTAATCTAAATGCTAATTCCTCTCGCCAGCTTTAGTTTCTCCTGCGCCTGGGCAGATTTTCTCTCAGCCTTACGCAACATAGGGAAATGAAATTCATTCTCACTGCAAATTTCTCTCACATCTCTCTTCTCGGTCCTCCTCACACATCACGCGCAGCAGGTGTTCTGCTGCCTGGGTGCTTTATTGATCTGTTTGTGACCACAATGTTGTATTGAACATAGCTGGAGGGAGTGTGAAATGGTTCTAAATGATTTTGGAGGAAAGGGATGATTGTTAACAGGTCAACTGTCTTGTAGTTTATGTGTGATTGGATGATTGATGTTTGATGCTGGATTTTTTCCCCCTCTTTCTTCTTTCTCCTGCAGATTGCAGTGATGACGGTCACTCTTTTTCCAGTGCGATTGCTCTTTGCTGCCTTTATGATGTTGCTGGCGTGGCCATTTGCCTTCGTGGCCACCGTGGGCCGCTCAGAGGACGCAGTAGAGCCACTGTCTTGGTGGAGATGGTGAGCGGATGTTAAATTTAGGGTATAATAAAGTGGTAGTGGTAGATTAGGTAGCAGCTCTGTGTTGTTTGAGGAAACTCATTGATGATTTAGGCATGCAAATTGCGGATACCCTACCAAATACGAGGCTAAATCTCAACCTCAACCTGATAAATATAAGTCAGAGTTTAGATCTTCCACATAACTTTTGAGTTCCTGCAGCTTAACTGTGTTGTAGGTCATCAAAACTAGGCAATTTGGAAGCAACATCTTAATTTTACATGTGTACAAAATCAATATCATGAAATGAATGAGTTTTACCCTTTTTTTTATTAGGCTGTTGATTTTCCCCTACCATTAAAGAGTACCTTTCAAGGCCAAACTCACATGCGGTCCAGCTTGACTGAGATATAAACATTAGGCAGGCTAATGTAATGCTTCCTAGCGTTCAGCTCACTGTAATGAAAAATCACTGTTAACACAAACAGTGCAGCCGTATTTTTTTAAATATATAAATAAAACATAAAATACAAACTATAAAAAGTAGATTTAGGTCTTTAATATGTTCAAATTAGGTTCAAGCTCAGATTTTTTAGCAATTGCAAATCATTTCTATAAAAATATGCCAATTGTTATTTGAACTGTACGTGTTCTGTACATGAATTGTTATTATATAAGTTAACTGACTATTAATAATCACCTAGTCAATCACAATTTAAAGATTTGAATGTAAATTTGTAGAATGTAAAATTTGGTGTGTTTATAAGTACAGTGTATTCACTATATAATTATAGTCATAAAAAATAATTCTCTGTGATGATACTACTCGGACGTGTTTGTGGGCAGAGCATGGATATATCCATTGCTTGTCATTCATAATGGTGTTGTTCTTCTGTCCGCACCCTCTAGGCTGGTGGACCTGGCCCTGAAGGCCATCATGAGGGCAATGTGGTTTTGTGGAGGTTTCCATTGGGTGCGGGTGAAAGGCAGACCAGCTCTACCCAGTGAAGCGCCCATCCTAACACTGGCACCACACTCTTCATACTTCGATGCCATCCCCGTGACAATGACCATGGCCTCCATCGTGATGAAGACAGAGAGCAAAGACATTCCTGTCTGGGGAAGTGAGTTTGTGTTGTCCTTTATTGAATAGCTGACTTCTCAGACAGAGAGATGAATGTTTCCACTGTGAAATTTCAGCTTTTTTTAATGTTTGTTAAAATGTATAAAGGCTTTCTGAGGGCAGAAACGGAAGGCATGGTTTGTTAATTTACAGATATTCTTGAATGTCACAGTTACAATTAGTGGTTTTGGTTCTGTACTCTGGACACTGAATTTTCTCCCCAATTTAGTCGTCTCCAATTCCACCCGCTAGTTAGGACTCCCCCAATCACACGATGCTATCAACACTAGGAGGGTGAAGGCTAACACAGGCTTCCTCCCAACCACCGCTTCTTTTCGAGCTGCTGCTCACGCAACGTCACTGGACAGCCGAACGCGCTCGGAGGAAAGCGCCAACCGCCAGATCTGTTACGTCAGCTAACAGACGCCTGCGCTGACTAGCATCGCGCTGACTGATGGGGGGAGAAGGAGGGGCCATCCTACCCACCCAGAGAGAGCGAGGCCAATTGTGCTCTCTCGGACTCCCGGCTACGGATGGCTGTAGCATCACCAGGGATCGAACTCGCGATCTCCTGATGACAGGGCCAACGCTTAGACGGTTGCGCCACTCGGGAGCGCCCAGAATTACAACTTTTAAAGTGTGTTTCTTACACCTTCATTGGGTGAACAATATACGATTCATATTTTTTACACATAGCTCGTCTGTTTCAGGATATCATGAGTAATTGAATGAAGTAGCAGATTCTAGATGTGATATTTGCATCTGAAGTATCAAGCCTGGAAAGCAGGCCATCATGAGGCTTAAGAATCAGAATAAATCATTTTGAGGTATATAAAAACAAACCAAAACTGATGGTCCACCAGCTAGAAAATATCTGGTCAGTGGGCGTCCAATATTGGGCCCTTTTAATGGTTGGATGGGGTAGATTGGGCTGATAAATTGTGCAGCTACAGTCAGTACTTCTAAACATACAACGTTCACTTGTGTGGCAGATGAGTGTAAGAACAAGGTAGGTGTACCTAATATACTGGCAACTGTATATATAGAGTACATATGAATAGAGCACCAATGTGCAGAAGTATAGAGTAATCAAAGCGTAATTGTCACTAGGCCTTCTCTGAAGGTCCCTGTGGATACCCTATTAATGTCCAGCAGGGGATCTGTGCACACATAGCTGTAGTATCCCAGTTGGCTTTTTGTTAGACATGTACGTCGTCTAGACGATATGCTGTTTGGGTGGGGAAGCTATTCTTCCATGACCTAGTTAGGGTACTGTGCAAGGAGCCATTTGAGATTCAGTTGTAGAACACCTGTTCAGATGTACCATTGCTTTTATTGTCTACAGATTAATCATGTGAGTAAATGTGTATCAGTGCATGTATGGTACTCAGAAGGGAATTAGCTCTGTTAGTTGTAGGTGAGTGATTAAGATGTTGTTCTTTTGCCAATCTCTTGTCCTGTGACAGCCTCTTGTGGGACGCTTCAGGAACAGGTGGGGCATGCGACAACATGACATACAGGACAGGGTGTCTCAAAGCCTATATACAATCCCCTCCACAATTACTGGCACCTCTGGTAAAGATGAATAGAAGGGTAAAAAGAAATGTATCTTTCGGTGAATTAGCTTAGTCTCACTCTGAAAAAATAAAAGAAATCTTTTAACTTAAGTAAGTTTATTCTGAAAAAAATCCTCACCAATATTTTTTTTTTAACCATGTGTGCCACAATTATTGGCACCCCTGCATTTAATACATTGTACAGCCTCCCTTTGCCAATAAAACAGCACTTAGTCATCTCCTGTAACATTTTGTAAGGTTAGAGAATACAGAGCAGAGAATTTGCGGCAATTATTCTTTAACAGAATCTCTTAAGATCATCCAGGGTCCTTGGTCCTCTTTAGATCACCCCACAGGTTTCCTATGAAGTTTAAATCAGTGGACTGAGATGGCCTTTACAGAAGCTTGATTTTGTGTTCACTAAACCATTTTTGTGGATCTGGGCATAGTTTTGGATCATTCTCTTGCTGGAAGATCCAATGATGATCCATTTTTAGTTTCCTGGCAGAGGCAGACAGATTTTGATTTAAAATGAGTCAATGATGCCATGTACCCTGTCTTAAATTCCCATCCCAACGTGTTTCAAGCTTCAATTTCAGAATGAGCGTATATATTTATAAAAAAACAATGACGTTGACATTACATATCTTGTATTTGTACTGTTTTCATTCTAATACAGGTTAAATAGATTCATAAATCACTGCTTTCTGTTTTCATTTGCATTTTACCCACTGTCCCAATTTTTTTTGGAATTAGGTATGTAAAATATCTGCTTACTGCCACATTTTTCTTTTCCAAAGTTTTGTTATAACCACATATTGAAACTTTGTTGGCCCGGAGGTGGTTTAAACACCTGAAAGGTTTGAGATCTGATGAGCACTGACATCAAAACAAGGGGATAAATTGTGTGGGGTTTGCTGTTATTCCTCAAGGTGGGGCTTTTAGCAGGTGTTTCTTCAGAGTTTGCAAAAGGACTCAAGCTAAATATGATTCTGCCTTATGTTATTGCAAATTAACAATGAGAGCATGCTCATTCGTATTAAAACATTTTGAAAAGCTGGTTTTCCTCATTTTGACAAAGTATCTGAATCTCTGCTTGTTTCGCTGGGGAACTAGTCTTGAATAATGTCATTTTAAACTGTAGTCTCTGTACAGATGTAGAGTTTTACTGTGCTGTGGTTTTAGACTGAAGTTTGCTTGCATTGGGCTCATCTCTGACTATGTGGAGTGTTTCTGTGGATATTGCAGTCAAACTGTTTCATTTTCTTTCTTTTTCCACTTTCCCTCTTTCTGCTGCTGTCTCTTTTCCCTCTGTCTTACAGCGCTGATAAAGTTTATCCGGCCGGTGTTTGTGTCCCGCTCAGATCAGGACTCTCGTAGGAAGACTGTTGAGGAGATCAAACGCAGAGCTTTCTCTGCAGGAGAGTGGCCTCAGGTAACTCATACACATGGTGTGCTTTAGAAAACAAGCAGGCAGGTTTTGACAAGCCAGAAACTAAACAAAATAAAAAAATAAAATTTGTAGAAATATCATGTTTTCACTGTGATATGAAAACTTGTAACCTTTTAAAACATAATTTACAGCTGCTGTTTATATTTTATTAACATGTAATGATAAATAGACCAAAAGAAAGGGTGCAAAATTACTTTGAACACTTACTACACTTTACCCCTTACCTTGTACTTCTACCCATTGGCCACTTTATTAGAAGCCCCTTCTTTGTTTCTCCACTCACTGGCCACTTTATTAGAAACCCCTACCTTGCACTTCTACCCATTGGCCACTTTATTAGAAACCCCTTCTTTGTTTCTCCACTCACTGGCCACTTTATTAGAAACCCCTACCTTGCACTTCTACCCATTGGTCACTTTATTAGAAACCTCTTATTTGTTCTTTCACTCACTGGCCACTTTATTAGAAACCTCTACTTTGTTTCTCCACTCACTGGTCACTTTATTAGAAACCTCTTATTTGTTCTTTCACTCACTGGCCACTTTATTAGAAACCCCTTCTTTGTTCTTCCATTAATTGACCACTTTATTAAAACCTCTACTTTGTACTTCTACCCACTGACCACTTTATTAGAAACCCCTACCTTATATTTCTACCCACTGGCCACTTTATTAGAAACTCCTTCATTGTTCTTCCATTAACTGGCCACTTTATTAGAAACCTCTACCTTGTACATCTACTCTGGCCACTTTGTTAAAAAAAACCCTTTTTTGTTCTTCCATTAACTGGCCACTTTATTAGAAACCTCTACTTTGTACTTCTACCCACCTCCCACTTTATTAGAAACCCCTTCTTTGTCCTTCTACCCACTGTTCACTTTATTAGAAACCCCTGCCTTGTTCTCCCTCTCACTGGCCACTTTTGAGCTCCACCTGCCTCACAGGTCCACTGTGTAGTTGTACAATAAAAAACTGCAGCTCATCTCTTGATGTACAGTTTATCAGCCCCCTCTACCCTGCTTTATCATTGGTCAGTTTCTGACCACAGGACCCCTGTTTTCCAGATATCATTTGGGTGGTGGATCATTCTCAGCACAGAAGTGACACTGACATGGTAGTGTGTGGTTCTGCTATGAGCATATCAGACACAGCATTGATGCTGGATACACATCGGCCTCACTGCTAGGTTGAGAGGGGAACCACACCCAACAGCATTCAGATAAGAGCAACTGGTTAGACACTGACCACTGATGAAGACTAGAGGATGGTCTAACACAAACTGCATCAGCAGGGGAACTACAGTCCTTAACTGTACACCTGCAAGGTGGAGCTATAAAAGAGGGGTTTCCAATAAAGTGGCCAGTGTACATTGTAAACAAGATAAATGTTTATTATGTTGCATCATTTCCTGCCATAAACATATTCTCACCACTGAGTTGTTTTTTTAGATAATGATATTTCCAGAGGGAACATGCACCAACCGATCCTGCCTCATTGCATTTAAGCCTGGTATGTGTTCTATTCTATTCTATTCTATTCTATTCTATTCTATTCTATTCATTCATTTTTGCTGAATTTAACTTTTTGGGAGACAAAAAAATTGTTACATATTCTTGTATGTATTTATGGTGAGTTTATTTTTTGTTTATTTGTATTTATTCTAACAGTGAACACTGAGAAATAGCTTTAGATATAATTTTCTCATCTGATCTAAAACGTTTTTCATAGTACTGTATAAGAAAGTGTGTGCCCAAGTGTCTTTCTCTCTCTCTCTCTCTCTCTCTCTCTCTCTCTCTCCTCCTCCTCTTCCTCTTCCTCTGTTCTGTTTGTTCGGATGATGAAGGCCAGCTTCTGTGGGCCGTCCTGTTCAGAGTGAGAGCAAAATCAGAACCACACTTAGAGTGACACTAGCGGAAAACCTTTTTTTTGTTTGTTTCGTTTGTTTGTTTTTGTTTTTAGCGTGAGTATTTGTATTTGTTTCTTGTACAAGGTGAACATTTAGCAATCAGTGCAGTTCAAAATAAAAGAGACACTCTCTCTCTCTCTCTCTCTCTCTCTCTCTCTCTCTCTCTCTCTCTCTCTCTCTCTATCTATCTATCTATCAGCGTCTGGCTTCCTCTTCCTGTGTGCACTGTCCAGTCGTGCTATTTTGTGCTGATCCACTCCCACCCATCGCTTATTGTGCTTGCTTCATGCTCCTAATCCCCCCTTTTCTCTTCTCATATCACTCGTTTGTTTTCCCCCGTCTGCCTGTCGGACTTTGTTTTCTGCATCCTTTAGTTCTGGTGGTTTCACTGTGCCAGTACACAGCAGCGGTGGAGATCTACGGCCAGACACATTTTCACAACAAAGCCTGTTCCAGAGAGCTGCATACGATAGAGAACACTCTGACTTTGCTTTAAACCTCCTACATCCACACTAATGTCCTAATTTATACTTTTACTGAAAATTCTATTTGCACAAATAATAGTTTTTACATTTAAATCTTCTGTTTTACCATATAGTGATTTTTATTGCAAATGTAGTGTGGTAGTAGTAAGGAATTACGTTTTCTAACAGTAATTCTGGCCCTAACTGTATGATTTTTTTTTTTTCTCCACAGACACACACACACACACACACACACACACACACACACACACACACACACACACATACGCACAACAGTAACCTTTCAACAGCATTGTTCTTTTGCACTTTATTCTTTGCTTTTGTTTACTCAGTTTTTTCTTTGTTTTTCGTTTTCTTTCTTTTTTCTTTTTATACTTGTTGTTTATTAGTCTTGTTTTATTATGTGTGTACTTCATTGTCCAAACTGAAACATTTTGATAAGCCATGCAAAAATGCCCTTCCAGTTAGTTCACATGCATGCACTCAAGAAGCGCCTGCACACATGTGCAGAGTCATGTTACTGTGAAATGGGGCAGATGGGGCCGGGCATTGTTTCTGTGACACTCCCATAATCAGCCTCAGGTAAACTAAGGACACGAACACTAGCATAAAAGGCCGGTGCTGATTTACGATAACTCTCTAAGTTGTTGTACAAACAGTAAAAATGATTTGGTTTTAGTTGTGAGCTGGTTAGAAGAACATTGGGCCTCATTCACCAATATCTTTCTAATTCTTTTTGAAAAAGGTCCTAAGGAAAGGTCTACATTAGATTCATGAATTGTTTTTAAACCACAGAATTTTTACTCTTGACTGTGCATAGATTCTGTTTTTGTTTTTTTGTTTTTTTGTTTTTTTTAATTTTTACCCAATTTTCTCCCCAATTTAGTCGTCTCCAATTCCACCCGCTAGTTAGGACTCCCCCAATTACACGACGCTATCAACGCTAGGAGAGTGAAGGCTAACACAGGCTTCCTCCGAGACCTGTGAAGCCAACCACCGCTTCTTTTCGAGCTGCCGCTCACGCAACGTCACTGGACAGCCGAACGCGCTCGGAGGAAAACGCCAACCGCCAGATCTGTTACGTCAGCTAACAGACGCCTGCGCTGACTAGCATCGCGCTGAGTGATGGGGGGAGAAGGGCAGCCATCCTACCCACCCAGAGAGAGCGAGGCCACTTGTGCTCTCTCGGACTCCCGGCTACGGATGGCTGTAGCATATAGATTCTGTTTTTACCTAAGAACAAATCCCAAATAAGAAAATATGAATGTCAGAAAGTGGGTTTTAAGAAGAAATTTCTTCTTAAGAACAGTTGGTGATTGAGGCCCATTGCTTTTGTTCCTCTTCTCAGTCCAACTTTATCAATAGCAGGGATTAGTTAACTCTTACAAGTGTGTAGAACCCAACATTGTAATAATGTCATAACCTCAAAAATATAATATAAATTTGCACTTAATTTGGTCAAAAATGTTATAAAACCTAATAAAGTACTAACTTACCCAATTACATAATGCAGAGTTTTAACTGAGAAAGCAGTAATACCAATAATGTAATACCTTATTACCCTACTGGGAATTTTTTTCAGGTTGACTATATGTAGTGCCTTCTTCCGTAATTGGAAATGTATTCGTCAGTTGATCATTTTGTCTTAGGAAAATCAGACAAAATAAATGATATTCATGAAAGGAGGAAAACAGTAAAGCCGTCTGATTGTACTGGAACAAAACCGGCTAACAGTGGTACCTTCTGTTCTTCTCAGTTATGTAATAAGGCATTACATATGGTCAACCTGAAAATGTTTTAAATTCCCAATAATGTAATAATGTATTACAATATCAGTAAAAAAATAGTATTACATTATCTCTTAAGACATCATAGACATAATTGGTTATTAAATTATTACATTTTCAGGAAGCTATAACATTATTGTGTTATTGTTGGATTTGATCGAGGATCTGTTCATTTGTTTTCTTTGCCGTCCAAGGTTCTCTCAAGAGTCCTCACCAACACTGAAGTTCGAAGACATGGATATTTTGCTGTCTCACTCTTTGTTGTCTAGATTTTGCATCCACAAAAATCACGAAAATCATAGCCTGGACAGTTCTGATCTTTGTTTTCAGAGAATTCTGAAAAATAATCCCCTCATAAGTATTTTATTCAGCCAATCTATAGACATTTTAGTAAGTATTTTATGTTTTACTTGCAGAGCTAAGATCTGTAACATTTTTCTGAAAGCGTTTGAATCATTCACCCTGCTTCTACAGCTGCAAACTGATCTTGAAGTAAACTTTTATTCTTATCTGTTGCTACACTAAATTTAAATTGAGTGGCTGTAAATCAAGCTTTTGCTAACAGTAACTTGCCAGATTTTAATTCTGAAGTGAGTTAGTTAATGATAGTTCAAAAACCTGAAAAGAAAGCAAAATCTTATGAGCGGCAAAGTTGGTCTCATTTTCGCATTAATAATTTCTTTCTACAACAGTTTTTGGATGAAGGGTGCAAAATCTTAATATGTGCAAGTTGTCATGATGTAAAACCTTTACACTCGTAGGGCTGACATAAGAGCTAAGGGACTGTCTGCAAATTTCAAACATCGAAATCCAAGCACAACACTTTAATATAAAGCCTTATAAACCAGTCTAAGCCTTTTAGCAGATAAATCACAAATGCTGGCCACTCAGAGTTTTCAGAATGACCCCTATGCACAATTATAGTTTGATCTTTTGACTTTGACAAGCAAAAGATTTTTAACAAAATCCCAGGACAGCAGTTTAGTTTTTAACATGGCTTGCATTCGTGTAGTTGTTAAATACAAAGCAAAGACAATTAATATTCCTACAATCTTTCACTTTGTGTGTGTTTAGGTTCAGTTCTTGTTGAAAAATGCTGTTTCTCTTATCTTTATTTAACTATGTGACTTTGAAAAGACAATCAATCCAAAAGTAACAGAACGTGATCAGATTATCTTCCTTTAATATAGTAATCCTTTGGATTATGCTACAGTTATGTTTTTTTAACAGGTGTTCAGTAATCTGTAATGGAATACATTGTTAAAGCAACTCTCCCAGCCCTGTTCCTCATATACACATTTCTAAAATGTAGAAATTGGGGCTGTATTAGAATTACAGAGAAATCGTACATGTATTTCTGCAGGGTTATAAATGCAGTACAATCTATATGTTACCGCATTTGCTCACATTCTACATTCTACTCTTCTGGAGTACAATAAATACATAATCAAATATTGGTTTGAAATATTGGTCAAATCGAATCACCTGCCCTGATTCTGATTATTTGTTTTAAGAAATGATCTGCCAATACGGACATGATGATGATATTATTTTGCATTTCTAAAAAACATGCTATAAGCAGGCAGTATTGTGCTAATTGTACTAATGCATTTTAAAGGATAAGGGGTAGTAATGTACATTTTTTTTATTTGGACAGTCATCATATTTTGGCTCCTCCTTCTATTTTAGGTGCATTTATTCCAGGCGTTCCAGTCCAGCCGGTAGTCCTGCGCTATCCTAATGAAATGGTAAGAAAAGAAAGCCTTTCAGAGACCCCCCCCCTTTTCAACACCACAAGGGCTGACTAGAAGCACCTAAATGATGTTAAACTCATCTCTCCTTTTGAAATTCATCCTTAAAGCGCTAAATATTTGTTGAGTTTGGTTCGTAGGAGCACTAAAAGTTTATTTATTTTACCAGTATATTAATAAGAAGTGTAGTAGGTGTAATACAGCTTGGCTAACACTGGTGCATGTCCTTTGTGTTACCTTTATTTTTTTATTTTATTGTCCTTGATGGGTTAAATAAATAAACAGTAAACAAAGCAAGTTAAGTTTAAAATTCAGTCTTTCACTTTTTGTCTCTCCCCTTCTCTCTCCCTGTCTGTCTGTTTCTCTCTACTGTCTCCTCTAATTAATAATGAAATAAAACTACTCAGGTTGCATTTAGATGTTCCTTGGAAATCTTGACCGTTATAAAGTTATATCTCATAGCTGGCACACAGTGATATATGCAGGAGTTTAATAATATGAGACTAGAGCTGGGCGATATCATGACATATGAAAAAAAAATGCAATATCATGACATTTTCAAGATACGTGATATGCTTCATGATGTAAGTTAGAACAGACTCAATGCACCCGCACTGCCACATTTAAAAACTGCTATGAAAAACTAGGAGTACAGTGAGTTTTCACATTTCACATACTGCACTGCACTAAAATTGATTAAACAGGGACAAATTTTGATGTCTTTATAATGAAAAAGGCAGTTTTTAAGTGTTGTTTAAGTAATGTTGATGCGTAGAAAAGCATATTGTAGTCATATTGCCCACCTCTACATGGAACTGATACCGGGAGGCTAGTAGAATATTAGATGCAAAGTTGTGGCTTTGGTCCTTAGAGCTCTGTTAATGCTGTAGTCCTATAATGGAGTGTTTGTTTTTCTGCACTACACCTGTTTGATGTCCTTCTGTGTGTTTAAAGCTCTAAGCTCACACACTTTGTCTCTCGTTGGCAGGACACAATCTCCTGGACATGGCAGGGACCTGGAGCGTGAGTCCTCTCTTCTGTTTTCTTCTCGTGTCTTCTCTTGTAGTAGCTGTCACTACACAGTGTGCGTCCTCTGCCCAATTTGCACCATGCATGCACATCACTGTTGGGCATGTGTCCACTGCATTACGTTTTACAACACTGCCCGATCTGTAACCTTCATGCCTGTTTTGCGATTTGCTGTATTAGCAGATTAGCTTGATTAGAGATTTAATGTTAAAATCACTATATGCAATTATATATATAATCATTTTTTTGCTAGTTTAAGACTATTTAGTATTAAGTTTCTTTCTGTGGGTAAAAACATTCAGTTCAGAGCACAAGAAGTCAAGAGGGATGTGGAAAAAACCTGCTCAATCTTGCTACCCAATTAATTAAGTATGAGCGCATGTCTGTGGCTGAATCTCAGATGGCTCCTTACTTTTTGTATAGTGCATAGGTCATGAAATCAGGGATTCTACACAAAAACACACCGTTAAATAGGATGCTGTGCAGATTTGACTGAATATAAATGGCTTTTATTTTGACATATAATGCACTGTGCATAGAAGCCGCTATATAGGGAGTAGGAAGCCGTTTGAGATTGAGGCTATATTTTGCCTGGCTTTGTTCATGCTGTTGTTATTGTAGCACTCGTACAGGCTGAGAATGTCTTCAAACACAAAGTAAAACGGCTCAGGTAGATAATCACAACTTAAAGCTCTGTGTTTTCACTGATAAAACATGTATAATAGCCGAACAGAGAGGAGTGCAGAATACAGACGTAATTACTGCTGAAGAATATGGGCGCTTTGTTACAGCTCAGCTACAGTTTTACACTGCTGTAAAATGATTACACATATGTGGTCTTCTTCTTCTTCACCTTCTTCTTCTTCTTCTTTTCGTTCTTTTTGTTCTTCTTCTTCTTTTTCTTGTTCTTCTTCACCTTTACTACCATCTTCTTTACCATCTTCTTCTTCTTCACCACTATCTTCCTCTTTTTCTTCTTCTTCTTCTTCTTCTTCTTCTTCACCTTTACTACCATCTTCTTTACCATCTTCTCCTTCTTCTTCACCACTATCTTCCTCTTCTTTTTCTTCTTCTTCTTTTTCTTCACCTTTGTCACTATCTTCTTCACCATCTTCCTCTTCTTCACTCCTTCTTCCTCTTCTTCACTCCTTCTTCTTCTTCTTCTTCTTCTTCTTCTTCTTCGTCACCTTCATCACTATCTTCTTCACTATCTTCTTCTTCTTCTTCTTCACCTTCTTCTTTTTGTTCTTTTTGTTCTTCTTCATCTTCTTTTTCTTCTTCTTCTTCACCTTTACTACCATCTTCTTTACCATCTTCTTCTTCTTCACCACTATCTTCCTCTTCTTTTTCTTCTTCTTCTTCTTCTTCTTCACCTTTACTACCATCTTCTTTATCATCTTCTCCTTCTTCTTCACCACTATCTTCCTCTTCTTTTTCTTCTTCTTCTTCTTCTTCACCTTTGTCACTATCTTCTTCACCATCTTCCTCTTCTTCACTCCTTCTTCCTCTTCTTCACTCCTTCTTCTTCTTCTTCGTCACCTTCATCACTATCTTCTTCACTATCTTCTTCTTCTTCTTCTTCTTCTTCTTCACCTTCTTCTTCTTCTTCTTCCTCTTCTTCTTCTTCTTTACTACCATCGTCTTCTTCACCTCCATCTTCTTCACCATCTTCTTAGTCTCCCTCACCATCTTCTTCCTCTTCTTTACTCCTTCTTCTTCTTCTTCTTCGTCACCTTCATCACTATCTTCTTCACTATCTTCTTCTTCTTCTTCTTCTTCTTCACCTCCTTCTTCTTCTTTACTACCATCGTCTTCTTCACCACCATCTTCTTAGTCTCCTTCACCATCTTCTTCATCTTCTTTATCATCTTCATCTTCTCTGAGGATTATAGTAAAATGAATGAATTAATTGTTGATGTCTCTCTTTCAGGTTTAAGATTCTATGGCTTACATTGTGTCAGCTACATAATTCTATAGAAATAGAGGTGAGAAGTGGTGACAATATCTTGTGTGATGTAATTTCTTAACTCTAAGTTTATAATCTCTGTTCTGCACTTTTACAAAAATGAAGGTTCCCAAGTGGTTCTTGGCTTGGATGTAGGGTTCTAGGAAATGCCATCCACCTATATATAGAACATTTACATTATGTTGAGCTTTTAAACTTTTTAAAAGGTTCTTTTCACTTGCACCTCATTTTTATTTATTGACATTCATTGAATGATTCTTTAGGGAACCAAAAGTGGTTCCTCTGTGGTATTGGTTTAAATAACTCTTTTTGACACCGTTTTAAGAATGAAAACTGATTCTGATTCTTTTATTTGCTCAGTATCTTCCAACATACACTCCTTCAGAAGTGGAGAAGAGGGACCCGGCTCTGTTTGCCAGCAATGTGAGGCGTATCATGGCCAAGTGAGTGTTCATTCCAAGCCTTCTGTTTAGTGATATAAAAGCCTCTGGACCCAACATGAGGCAGGATATTACATTTTTCTTTGGTTGTGTTTCTGGATGGCCACTGCAGTCGCAGATCTGCTTACTCAATTTTGATTCATAATATATGTTCATTAACCTCTGCTTGCACAATCCTTGAGCCAGCGCTGTTAGTATTGATTATATCAATCATAGTGATCTACAGATTATTCTGATGACAAATTGAGTGATCAGGATTTAAAAACATAACTGAACAGTAATCACTGCCAGTTCATTAAGAAGGTAATTTTTGATCAATGATTTATTTCTTTAAGTCAAGCAACTGAAACGGCTGTAGCTTAAGCAGCTCTGCATTTTGTAGATTATGTTTTTCAAAGCTTCATCTTTGGGTTTTTGTTCATCTGTTTAATCTTTAGAGCTCTGCAGCTGCCTATCATCGACTACTCATTTGAGGATTGCCAGCTTGCAATGGCCAAAGGCCCTCTGTGTCTGCCCAGCCACACCTGCCTGCTGGAATTCTCCAGGCTGGTGCGTAGACTCGGGTGAGTACCATGAGTGACCTCTCACTGCAGTGAGTACTGCAGTAACTGCTGAAGTGAGTGTTGAGTAATGGAAAGTCAGATCTTCAAATCTAAATCAGATAAACTAAAGCAAGACACACATAAACAGCTCATGGATTGATCCTGTCAGATAATTGTTCAGATCATTTACAGCACTTATGAGTGAGAACCACAGTCTTTCCGGGTACTCTGTCCAAAATGAATTGGTGTTCTGTTGTGGACACTAGCGTGATTCTCAGTGGGTGAGTGAGTGAATGCTTTCACCCTGTGAAGTTTTTTGATATACATGTGACTTGTGTGCAGTTATATAATTACATAGTTGATACATCATGAATACAGTTATATTTGTGGCAAAAATGTGAAGTATTATTTTTCTTTCCATAAAACAAGATTGTAGACACAAAAATAACTGCATCCAATTCATATGATTACATTTATTGCAGTACTGTGCAAACATTTTGGAGACCTGAGAAAATTGGATTTTAAAAGCTATCAATCTGGTCAGTAAGGGTTTGCTCAGAAATATACTATACAAACAATATTAATACAATAAGTAATAATTGTACATGTTACTGTCTTGGTTTAACCATTTCCAAACCTCCTTGTGGCAGCCCAGTATTAATTGTAGTTAATATCCAATACCTGGTTTGGCTAATCAGTACTTCATAAATGTAAATCCAGTGTGCTGGTGATAGAATTTAACAAATCTATGCAATGGCTGGGGGCATCCAGGAGAAATCTGGAACCAACCTTCTTTATTCAAACTAGCTGACAACACATCAACTACTTTTTTGAAAAAAAAAATGTTCTTGTTATATTTTACTATATGTATATTTGCATTGACTCTAATGATGTATAGTGTTTTACAAGCAAAAACACACTTATTGGCAAGATAAAAGGTTTTAAACATTGTGCCTATTTTGCACAGCACTGTACGAACATAAATCTGGCATAGATTGTTTAAGTATGAGTTTGTCAGGGACCTTGTTCAAACAGATTAATCTTAAATGTGAAAAGATGCTTTTTACCTAATTCAGCTTAATTGCTCATTTTCCTTTGATGTGAAAGTTTAAAACTTGGACTTTTTATAGAAAATTTAGCAAGAAATGTTTGAGCAAAATATAAGAGGAGACAGTGTAGGAGAAGTGTATACACAATGGGGATCCCTAGAAAGTCTAATCGAATAGCTCAGTTAAATGCTGTAGATGATGGAAGGGCCACTCTTAGTCATGCCCCTGAAGGACACTGGCAGTAACAGTGAGCACAGTGACTCTGTGGTATGTGAGTGTTAAGTAAAGGGGAATTAAAGGGCCGAGTGTGGTGCTGCGTCTCTGCCCTCGAGCACGCTGCTGTATCCCAGCTGCCTCTTAAAGAGAAGGACATGAAGTGCAGGCTTTGCTTGGTTTGGATTAAAAGTTGTGGATTGATTTCTCTGATATCACCTGAGGTTCTGTTCTTTGTTGAATGGTGGAAAATACACTCACCTTTGAGAACAGCGCCCTCTACTGAGGAAGGAGAGTGAGTTTATGATTGTGAAAATGTCTTGAAGTAGCATGAAGTTATAATTTTGCCCTATTGCACACTTTTATTGTGCATACAGTCTTGTTCTGTGCAGAGGGAAGCTATCTGTTTTTCCGTGATTGGTCATGTTCTGACAACGAAACAAACAAGAAAGTTTGAAGTGCAGCATAAATGCATAACAAACATGCTGTTTATTTTGCTGAATTGAACATATTAGAGAAAAAAATAAATTATAAACTATAAAATGTGTCATGTACAAAGGTTATAGCACATCTTTGATTTATTTTTTCTGACATGTTAAACTCAGCAAATACGTAGAAATTGTTCTCTGGAAATTTGCAGGAAATTTGTTCCGTGTAGAGAATGTGTGCTGACTTAGTTTTACTTGGACAATCAACAAAATGGGTAATTTTATCGGGGGTGTTCAAACTTCTGTATTCTTGCATTTTATTTGTCTGCCTTATAAAACCAGGGGTAAATTCACAATCATGTCTCAAAAGTGTACCCCCTTTAACAACAGCAGGAGATATTTATTTTGTTAGTGTGTGCTTGTCTGTCTTGCAGGCTGAAGGTGGGAGTGACTGAACAAATCCTTCAGGAGGAGAGCAGCAGAGCACGAAGACTTTGTGGACAAAAACTAAGCCTGGAAAGTTTTGCAAAATATGTAAACCTACCTGTGACAGAAGCATTGCAGGACATCTTTGCCCTCTTTGAGGAGGTACAGTAGGCTTTCTTATGTTCTTCATATGCTGAAAAGGTTTATCAGAACATGTCATTCTGCTCCAGTTATTACTTTTTAATAACAATAATAATAGTAATAGATTTTCATAAGTCAAGTCACCTAAGGACACTGTACTATATTACAGTTGATAATTGTTAATAATTCAACTCAAAAGTATTTCTGTATTGCTTTTTACATTGGATATTGTCACAAAGCAGCGTTACAGATCCTGTGTGAAAGTCAGAGGCTCCTTCATTTATGCAATTACCAGTCAAAACAGTCATAAAATACAAGTTATTTATGTGTCAGGAAATATTTCTGAGTAGATCAGATATAAGATAATTCACTTGCATAAGAAAGAAAAAAGTCTGAGTAAAATAAATGGGAAATCTAACTACTGTGCAAGACCTGGTAGACCACCAAAACAGTCCCCTTCAGATAAACAGCACGTAAAACTTTCACTTTAGATAAGATCACTTCAGAGACGCCAACTCAGCACTATGAGTCTGAAAGGATGTGTAGCTGTTCAAGAAGACCTTACTGAGAAAAGGAAACGGACAAAAAAAATATAAATCAAACAAAGAAGGTACTGGTGTTCTCAGAACAATGAACTGATGCCCCCCAGAGTCTAGAACTCAACATCACTGAATGTCCTTGGAATCATGAGAAGAAAAAGCAGAAATCACCCAACTTCTAAGACTGAACTTTGGAAGTGTGGAAAAATATTCCTGCAGATTTCTATGAGAAACTGAAAGTGAGTCTCCTGAAAAGAATGGAAGCTATAATAAAGGCAAAGAGTGGACACAGTAAATACTGAAAAATTATTTTTTAAGTTAGTTAATTCAGCTTCTGGGTATGATCTGTTAAATGTATGTTTTCTGCTTTTTCCTGATGCTGAAAAACTTGAATAAATAACTTGTACATAATGGCTGTTTTGACTGGAAATGAATGACTTTTGCACAGCACCGTATGTAGGCCTACATGTATTCAAATGCATCTCCATTTTTCGTCAATCTGTGCAAAATGAACTTATGCTTCTGATTACCTTGTGTTTTTCCAGCATGGTCAGATGGATGTGAGGGAATATGTCATTGCTCTATCTGTGGTCTGCAGACCCTTCAGATATCTGGACACCATTCAGCTGGCCTTCAGGGTGAGGTTGCTTTCAAGTGGTCACACATACAAATTTGTTTATTGATGTGAACCACACACACACTTACATAATCTGATGTTAACGTATAGTATCAATCTATTTATAATAAATGTCCAGCCAATATAAATAATGATAAATAATAATAATAATAATAATAATAATAATAATAATAATAATAATAATAAATAATAAATAAATAAATAAATAAATAATTAAAAGGAGGAGGTTATGGGGAAAAGGGTGCAGAAAATGCAGTTAATAATAGCAGATACTGTTAATGATACCAACATTTGATATGATCATTTAAGTAAAAAATTGTTATTCAAATCACATAATTTTATATAATAACTGTTTACTAGCATGTCTCAGCACTGCAGTAACACTGACATAGTGGTGGTGTGTTAGTGTGTGTTGCGCTGGTCTGAGTGGATCAGACACAGCAGTGCTGCTGGAGTTTTTAAACACCTCAGTGTCACTGCTGGACTGAGAATAGTCGTCAGCAACAGCGTCCTGTGGGCAGCGTCCTATGACCACTGATGAAGGACTAGAGGATGACCAACACAAACTGAGCAGCAGCAGATGAGCTATCGTCTCTGACTTTACATCTAGAAGTTGGACCAACAGGGTAGGAATACCTAATAGAGTGGACACTGAGTGGGACACAGTGTTTAAAATCTGGGAGCCATTTCAGATGGGCTACACTGCGCTCTTCAGGAATGCATAATCCAATAAACAACTAAAATGCATCGTTATTCTTGCCATAGAGTGGGGGGCTTTGGTGGGTAGGGGGCCTAACCAACTATTTTGTCTGTAAGTAGAACTGGCACTGGTTACTGCACACATGACTGCTACAACATATAGTCAGACCCATCTGTTCTATATTAATGAATACAGTGTTATTTCTAAGCTTTGGGTCCTGTAGTACAGATGTTATGACGAAGATATGTGTCTAAACCACAGTTCCTGTTTTGTCCAGATGTTTGAGGCTGAAGAGGACGGGGCTGTAGTGGAAGATGAATTGGCTGTCATTCTGAAAACAGCTCTTGGAGTGGCAGACCTCACTGTGTGTAATGTCTTCAGAGCTGTTGATACTGAAGACAAAGGAAAGATCACATGTGGTATGTATGTGTACATTGAATTATTTGAGTGATTGTTTGGTCTCTTGAAATTTCACAGCATATCGTCGCTGTCATTAAAAAAAAACTCATAACTCTTTTGTACCAGCACACCAGCTGCCTGCTAGTTTTTTGCGAATATTTCATGATAAATGGACCAATAGAAATGGTCTAAAGTAGAGTGGTGCAGCTATAATTGCAAAATTGAGAGTTTGATCCCCAGTGATGGTACAGCCATCCATGGCCATTCATGACTGTCCTCTCTGTCTGGGAGAGTAGGATGGACCCTGCCCTCTCCATCCATCACTCAGTACGATGCTAACCAACACAGATGTCTGTTAGCTGATGTAACAGAATTATCCGTTAGTACTCTCCTCCAAGCGTGTTGAGCTGTCCAGTGATGTGTTAGTGTCAGTTCAGAACAATGAGGTGGAGCTTCATGTGTCTCGCTGCAAGCTTGTGCTAGCCTTCACCCTCCTAGCTTGGTAGCATCGTGTAATAGAGGAGGACCTAGCTAGCAGGGTTTGATTTGCACATGATTAAATTGGGGGGGAAAATGTTACTGTTTCAGAGATACAAGGTTTTGTTACCACAGTAACTACATGCTTTACAGCTCACAGAGTTAGTTTTAAGGGGAATTCCAAGAAGTCATTACGTTGTAAACAAAGTCATTTAGAGTCATGTGAAATTATCTGTTCTAGAGAAACTTACTGAGTCAGAATTGTTCACAGTGGTGGTGATGGGAACCAGATATCTGAAGAGATAAGCTCCCTCACAGGAAGTTACTTCATGAAACAGCATACGTTGCCTGATGTCTGAGATTGTTCTTAATAGTTTTGAGCATTATTTAAAATCCAGTCATGGCAGAGAGGTACGGCAAGGTGTTTTCAGATTTACCAGTATTTCACTAACAACACTACATATGAAAACCTCAAAAGACACATGACAAAAAAAAGGCTATGTAGACATCATGACCCCTGGTTCCCATCACCACCACTGTAAGGAAATCCGTGTCAGTTTCTCTACACTGATGTATTTTTCATCAAACCGCTTTGAATGACTTTGTTTACATCTCGGCCATTGAATTATGCAGAAATTCTGAAATAAATGGTGGATTTCCCCTTTGATGTAATTTCAATAGTGTTTTTAAGGGATATCAAGTGATGTTGACTCTGACTAGTATTGTAATTAGAAATTGGATTTTATGAAAACAAACTGTCGTGTTTTCTGTGTCAGATGATTTTCGCCAGTTTATGGAGAGATGTCCGAACTTCATGGAGCTTTACCGCTGTTTCCGTCACCTGGCCACTCTCACCTGTTCTGAACCGCCAGAACCCATAACAACCAACAGCTTCTGTTCTGACTTCAGCCTTCAGGAACAAACCACATCCAAGAACTCAAACAGCAAGAAGCACGACTGAGAGCATCTCTGATGATGTGTGTGTGCCTGAATGCATGTATATAGCAGAGTGTAAGTATAAGTAAGAGAATGATTGAGAATTGAATTTTGCACTTTGCAGGATTTTGGTGATCTATCCATTCCTTTAAACTTTTTTCCCCTCAACAATTTTGGGTTACACTGTACTCACAGATCTTCAGAAAGATGTTTAGGTTTTTTAGTAACATTTTAATTTGTGCATTGTTTTTTAATTGAGATAAATAATCTATTTATTCCAGGTTTTCTCTACAAAGATTCATTTTGTCTGTAATTTCAGACTGATTTTAGTACAGGTGCATCAAAAACCAAAAGTATATGCTTGTGTTCTTTAAAGTGGAAGTTCTTGTAATAAAATTATTGATTTTACGTGCCGTGTAGCCTGTACTTAAATATCCAAGTAATTCACCATCAATTAAGATATTTTAGGTCTGGTCTCTGGTTGTTCAAAAATCGAATAACAAAAAAACATTTACATGCAGCTACAAGCATCTACAGAAATGTCCTGTTTGTTAGTCGCCTCCAGTTATTTCCCGGTGAGGCTACAGTGATGGTTGTACTGAAAGCAGTGGTGATGAGAGTACAGAGCTAACCTACTAATCAAACTGACAACACGGAGCAGAACAAATTTGAATAAGATGCATAATGTCAAAATAAATACAGGGTGTCCCAAAAAAATTGACATCATTTGAGATGTGAATATCTGAGTAACTACATGTCCTGGGCAAATGAAATTAAATAGGCTTCATGTTGAACAATACAAGATTTATTTATCAAAATTCGAACAAGAAATTCAGAAGGATGTAGATTTTATAGCTGATTTCACAGCTTCACAAATGTCATATCTTCCGATACTGGTGGTCGTCCAGATCCCTTTGCCCACAGACAGCCAGCCTTCCTCTTTGAATTTTTTGTGCCGTGTCCAAATCTGCTTTCCAGTTGGTGCATTTTTACTGAATTTTCTCGAAAATGCAGGCTGCACACTCCTGTCTGACTGTGTTCGAGCATATTCTAACACACAGAATGCCTTTTCATTTCTAGTTAACGCCATTCTTCAACCTGGAAAAAACATTAAAAATAAAATTTGGTTAGTTTTTACGCATTTTTTTAAAAAATTTGAGATCATTTGAGGGACACTTGGCTACATTATTAGACTATGAAATTATCCCAATTTTTTTGGGACACCCTGTATTAATGAAATGTATTAATATGTTCATGGCATGCTATGGCGCTTGTTGCTTGAAAAAACAATATTGAGTAAAAAGTGGGCTGAAAAAATAAGATGTTAAGAACTTTTTTGACAAGTTTGTCTAAGAAGTCTAGTGGGTCACAAAATCACTTATCTATTATTATTATTATTATTATTATTATTATTATCATTATATAAAGGTTAGCATGATTTTAATAGCCTAATTGTACTATTTTTATGTCGATTAATAGGGAGTGTTTGTTTCACGTTAAACAATCCACATTTGTTTTGTATGGGCTATACGAAAGATACATGGATTGACGTGATCTGTTTACCTAGTTTCTGACCACAGAGCTGCTTCTGGCACCTTTTTGGCAAAAACTCCAGCAACACTTCTGTGGCTGATACACTCGTACCAGCACCACACACACACTACCATATCGGTGTCACTGCTGTGCTGAGAATGATCCAGCCAAATATCAAACAGCAGTCCTGTGGTCAGAAACAGTATGGAGTAGAGGGTGCAGCAAGAGATGGGCTTCACTCTGTAATCCACTCCTTTATGGTGGAATTTAAAAAAAAAGTGGACAGTCAGTGAAGGTACAGTGTTACTGTTTCTAGTAAAGTTGGACGTGAGTGTATAATGTACGTTATTATCAGCCTTGTTTTAAGTATGGGGTGTAGAAATGGAGATATTATTGGTTAATATTATTTTTCACAAGGTGCTGGCATCACCAAAACGCTGAATACAGTGTAGAGGTGAGCCAAAGTCATTACATTTTGATTGAATTTTATGGGAAAGCAAGAACTTTGTCTTTTAATTGATCATGCTTAATATGACCAGGGACATGAACTAACAGTCAGTATTGTTTTTAGGTTGGCTTTAAAGAAAGGGTTCTCTGAAACCATTCCTAATTTATACAGTTTTCCCCTTTTGCCCCCAAATGTAGTCAACTGTGTAGTTTTGTTCTGGATATGTTCTCATATCACTCCAGCAAAACTAGAGGCAAACGTCAGATACTAAACATGACTTGATCGATTGACTACATTTAGCGTAAGGGGAACATGTATAAACTTAGGTTTTCCTCTGAACCATTCCATTAAGCTCCTATACAGCAAAGTCTTTGTGAGTGTCCACCAACAGAGGGAGCTCTACACTAAGATGTGAGAAACAGCTCATATTCTTTGACAAGTGTGAGGTAAACAGATTTGTTTCATTACAGTAAGCAGTGGTGAAACTGATGGTGTCTCATAGGGCTGATCTGATAAGATGGAGCTTGTTAATTAATAATTAATTAAATTAATTGGTTTCACTATTTGCCTATTTAGACCATTAGCAGTGTGTAGTATTTGTAAGCCTTGTTTGCAGCTCAGTCTCTCTTTGGTGTAATTGGTGTAATTTGTAGCTTTTGCTGGTGTTGCTCAAGTTGAAAACTCAATCGCTGATGAGAACATCACATTACATTTAGTTTTAGAATCCAAATGACTTTATTGGTCGCGTGCAGGGGTTTGTCTTGGTGCGTACTTAAACTGAAAATACAGAATATGAACAGAAGCCTAATAATACAATAAATACAATGGCACAGTCACAAAAGGTGTTAGTAAATACCCATCATCTACAGCAGAGCAGGTGCGTTATGTATTCTTCTTTCTTAATTCTTCCATCTCCAGAATGGCATGAGCTACTGTGCAGCCGTACAGTCCTTAAAGGCTTAAAGGTTCATGTGTGATGATGTCATTATTTGGATGCATCATTTGCGTCCAAATGCATCATCACTGCAGACTGGTGTGCTATGTTTTGTGTGTGTGCTGAGGTAAGCCTAGCCAGCAGAGTGTCCTTGAAGGTCATTGCCTTTGGGAAAGAAGTCTTAACCCCTTCAGCTCCATGCAGCAAAAAGAGATTTGTTCATACACATTTATCATATTAATAATTGCTGTTGTTTTATTCAGGAATAAACAGCATAGATTGAACTACTATAAGCCAGACGCTAGAACGTATTTTATGGTGTTGTTTTAGTCAAAGTTATATACTGTAATTATTTACATTAAATCCTTTTTATCTGCTGGAAATTCACCACTTTTCAAATACAAGGCATTCTAGGTGTTAACTAGAATCAAAACAGGGTAGCACTTGAACTCTGCTACATAACAATGACATAACCATGTCATAAACATGTCATAGTAGATGTCGCACGCTGTCATGAGTTGTTATTACCTTTACATTTAGCTGTTATGACAGACGTCATAATGTTCAATGTCATGACAGATAACTAAATTAAATTAGCATGTGACATAAGCTGTGATGATAAACAATATGGCATCTGTCATCGTAGTTAGTAAATGTTAACGATAACATGGCACTGTTATATTACTGAACAAAATCTGTCATGACAGCATATGACAGCTGCCACAGCATGTTTATGGCATGGTTATACACCCTTAGAAAAAAATGTGTGAAACTGTCAGTGGGGCAGTGCCTCTCTTGTCACTGCGGTGGTACCCTCAAGAGTACATCTCAGTACCTTCAGTCAGGGAACATAATTGTGCCATAAACAATTGAAATTATATTGTCTAAGTTGTACTGACTCCACACACCCCGTCTCGTCTCCAGGCTTTTATTTTATTGTTCTGTTTTAAAACATGAGGTTATGAAAAGGTACAAATTTGTACTTTTCACATGGAAAAACTTATTTAAGGTTCAGAATTGGACCTTAAAACCACTGTTATACCTTTGAGGTACATTTACATTGTTTGTACCTTAATGAACAAAAAATGTACCTGTATTTCCAAACTTTTGAACGCTGGTATATGTAAGCTGGCTGCCGTATTTGATTTCACTGACCATCTACTAGTAATTTAATAGAAGGAAGGTTTACTGCTGCACACATTTAGTGAATCTCCTTTTGATAAGCATATTACTGTGGTGGCCTACAGTACTGTCCATACAACTTAGGCACCGGACAAAAATAAACTTGAAAAGCTGTTTATCAGGCTGGAAACATCTCAGAATACCATTAATATTACAATAATTACAAACAGCATTGATGCAGTAAGTAGTGATTTTATGTATGTCAGTGTGTTCACGTAATCATTTCCAAACCGCTCCTTGAGGAAGCCCAGCATTAACTATATGAATCATCCAGCATCTGTTTTGGCTAATAAATGCTTCATTAAATTAAATCGCGTGTGCTGCAGCTGGAAGTTAACAAATTTGCACAATGTATTTATGTTTATTAATATCTACTCTAATCGTATGTGGTGTTTTAATGAGCAAAACACACTTATTGCCCAGTTAAATGGTTTTAAATAATGTGTTTTTGCACAGTACTGTATGTCTATCTATATGTTTAGCACAATTCCTGTCCTGTCCAGATTTAAGGCAGCCAGGTTACCTACATTTAAGTTACAACATGAAATCACCATTATTTATTTCTTAATTTTAGGGTCAGATTAAGGGTCTGTATGTGGGTCAATACTTGAATTCCTTACTCTTATAAGTTACATAGAAGTTTCATGAATGTTATCAAGTAATTTACAGAAGGTGCTGAATAATAAGTTAATAACTAAAACAGCCTGGGGTGCAGAGGGTGAATTAAAACCAATAAAAATGCCTATAAAATGTTTTCAGTCTTTTTACTTGAGTATTTTCAGACAGTTACTGAAAGTTGAAGAAGTGCATTGTGAATATAATCAAGTACAATGCATTGACCAATCTTTTATTCATATTTCTTTATATTACTTAATATTCCCCTTGTCTCTTGAGTGGTTTTATTCCTATATTTCTTTCTTTCCTGCAGTCCTTACCTCTTGCTTTTTCTCTTGCTCTTACCACCCACCGAACACCCCCTTTTCTGCGTTTTAGTGTAAACAAGTATGCACCTGATGTCTTTTGTTATGAATATTTCACAGAAACACTTCCTCACACTGCCATAAGGTGGGGCTAGCACACTTAAGAATCGGCCACAACCTGCCCCCTCACTCCCTGGCTGAAGGAAAAGCATTACATCATTGCTGGTGTAAAAATAGACTGAGGGCTGGTTTCTTGGTTTCTTGGAAGTGGAGCATTTTGCCACCTGTGTCAAGGCTGTTAATAGATAATGACATCATCTGAAATTGTTCACGGAAAAGCAGGATTTGGCACACATCTGCACCGAACTG